CTGCAATCGCTGCGGAAGGGCATGGGTGAACCTGAGAACAGGGTTGTAATTCCCCTTTCAAGAAAGAAAACCCCACAGAGTGCTCCAATTACTGGAGCATTACCTTACTGATCTTCAGGTTAAAGTCTGCCAAAAGGTGTCAGAAATAACTGACTTTAAGAAACAAGAAGAGCAGTGCGGTTTCAGATCAGGCGAAGTACCTCTTATCAGATCTTCACCTTACGCCAGAACGCAGAGAAATCGCTGTTGTTTGCTCATCCGGTTTACATGTGCTCTGTGGACGTAGAGACAGCGTATGATCAGATCCAGCGGAATATGCTTTAGAGGAATAGTGAGGCGCAGCCAAGGCAATGAATCAATCGATGTAGCAGATGTGAAGATGAGACGGGTGCTGTTTGCAGACCTCGTTTTATTCGCAACTTCTGAAACTTATCTTCAGTGCTTCCTTAAAAGGTTCGCAGCCGAGTGCGAGGTAACCGGCATGAGTGTGAACGCATCTAAAACGAAAAGCCTAGAGTTTCCTCGTTCTCCTGCGCGTTGCACTCTTCAGATTAACAAAGAAGCAGTGGAGCAGGAGAAGTCAACGCATTTCAGGATCGTGTTCACTGACGAAAGAAAGTGGGAATAGGAGATCGAAAGATGAATTTGAATGACCACTAGCGTTTTGCTCCGGATCACTGTGATTAAAGCTGGCCTAAATCTAAAGACCATGCCCTCTGCGTTAAGGTCGATCTTCACCCGTCGTTTACTTACCGGCATCGGGGATGACAGAAAAAATTTCGATTTGTGGTGCATGGGGCTGACATCTGCTTTATGAGATGAATCCATTTGCCCACGCGTCTCGACATGGTTTAGAGTAGAGATATGCGATGGAGCTTTGGTATAATGACCCTGCCTCTCCAGATTGAGAAACCGCCGCTGCAGTGGCCTGGGCTTTAAAAATAGGAAGGCGAAACAACTACTGTGTGCCCAAGCGACCAGTTGTAGACACTACGAATGGCCAGAGGGTTGGTGTATCGAAGGACTCTGCTCCAGACTTGGGTTATTCTTTGCCGAAGCTCAAACGTTCGTATAGAATGAGGTAACTTGGAGACACTGTCTGACGCGTCTGCGTTCCCGACCCAAGCGGAGAAGCGATCATCGAAACCAGATGACAGTAAAAATTAATTCTAGCACGAACAGAATATATATAATTCCCCTCGTTTTTAGTAAAATGGACGAAAGTCAAAATGCAAATCACCGATTGCTGGAAAGTCGACTATGCGTTTTGTTCATCTAATTATTATGCTGTTTTCGGTAGAACTTATAACGTCACTGATTAGCCGTATCTTGTATGAGATAGGATTCAGCCATCGAATGATTTGCCGTTAGATAAAAACAGGTTTTATCAAAGCTGGCTGTTATTCGGCTAGATATCTTTAAGGTATTTGTATTTTTCGTAGAAATTCGTGGCTGTGTCGAAACACTCTGCATTTCTATGACCTTCATGTCTGAAGGAGAAGAACTAGGAATATTAATTTAAGGGCTTACGCTTGGCCCTAATTTGTACAAGACAAAATTGTATGTGAAATCTACATCTTGACTGGAGCGCTTTTCGATTGCCACTTTGATCACGCTGCACTCTGTTTGTTCTTATATCTCCGGCGGGCATTCACGTCATCTTACCTGTTTACTTAGCGCGCAAATCGTCGTCTTTCGTGAATCATGCTACGAGGTGCCAGAACGAAGCCGCAGTCCTTGTTGATGCTCGCTGTACCTGCAGATCTTTTGGCCATCGGTTGTATCAGCAAGAAATACAATTAGAATTGGACAGCTTGATTTCCACTAGCCAATCATTCGAGTATCGACTGTACATGAGCAAAACAAATTATGACAAAAAGCAGAAGAATGGTCGATGAGCAAGGGCACCTGCAGGGACAGCTACTGTAGCCAGGTGTGATATTGAAAACTGATTGCTTTTTGCTTCGACCCTTCTTTCGATCGAAGCCTCTTCTGTTTGAAGAGGATGACGCGTTTTTCAGAAATTCCAGCTTACTCTTGAGGTAAGTCAATTCGCTTGTCCACAGCGTTGAGGAGCAGATTTATTTATCGAATGCCGATGCTATGATGATACCTCAGATGGAAGGATTGCAATCATGTGATAATTATTTTATCTGGATCCGCGTTGCAAGTTTTTGCAAAGACATATGGCAGACTCAGAGTCACCAAGTGACTGTTATGAATTTTGCATGCCAACGGCCCGTATTTGAATCCACGATATATTATTTTATATTCTGCCTGTCTCACAGCTCAAGGACAAGCAGAAGTTATTTCGTTCATCATGATTTGAAGCGAGCGTTCAATTATTTTGAACAATGGTTGAACGAAAGAAAAAGTTTTATGGGTCATACAGTTACTTTAGACATTTGATGCCCTGAGTCTTTTTCTACTCCAACTTCATGGACACAAAGAATTTCCATGCATTCAAGGTAGTTTCCTCGTTGCTGGCTGCTAAAAAGCAGCCATTCCTGCATTTCTCATATCGCTTACCCTTTCTGATCACCAATTTATTTAATATTTGTGGTTTTCCTATATTTGGTGGAAACTAGCTTCAAGTGCTTATTCTCCCAGTTCCTCATTTTCTATTAATGTTCTGCAATTCATGCAAATTTCGTGACTGACCGATTCATTGGGAATTCGATTTAATCCGTAATTCATTTGAACCGGTGCATCTAATTTTGAAAGAGAAAAGAATCCGTTGAACCTTTAAAAAAAAATGTCCATATAGTGCAGTAAACAATAATGATGTATGTGATTTGTGCTACGCCTCACACGCTGAGCAGTCTGTATTAATGAGGTTATTCAAAAGCGTCAAAAACATGACATTTAATTACTCAACGCCACATATTTTATGACAGATCGTTTTCCAAATTATTCTATGACATTCAGTGTTAATTTTGGTCGTCTGTAGTAGACACAGTGTAGCATCAGAAAACTCGAACAAACACTGAACTTCCTCACAGGCTTTCCTTGAAGAAAGTTCGAACGATGATGGCTGAACGTCGAGATCGACATCTGAGCGTAAGTTGTAAAGTACTAATAAACTGTTATTCTGTTACTAAAAACATGTTTTCATCATGTCTACCACGTACAAACAAAATATTCTATTTTCGAAGGTTTTTCAAAAAATGAAAGTTGCTATGCCGTGTGTACCTGATAATCATATACCGGTTGCTTACTACAGTAGCATTATAATTTAAAAGTGCCGCCTTTGCCTAATGGTACAGGTTTTATCGTTGGGAAGGGCGCTTTAAATTAATAGTTCAACATTATTTTTGTGTTTTTAAAATATGGACTGAAAAGTAGGATCAGCATGAAAGATTCATTTTTCATCAGATCTCACAAGTTTATGAGTAAAGCATTGTGACTTAGCGGTCTTCGCTACGTTGCCAACCTTTCTCAACTGCAAAGAGTACACTACACTACGGTCATACAAGGTTTTCATATTGAAATTCGAGTTGCTTATTTCTCATTGTCGGAAATTTGCATAAGTTTCGCTGTAATGGGGAGACGCAAATGCTTTTATTCTATTCATGACGCAAGTCTAATCTGAATTACGCTAAACAGCGGCTGTTCACCAGATACGCAAGGGAAACAGCGTCGATTTTAACCACCCAACCATAGTAGCAGCATTTGGCAACAACAGATTCCCTGAAGATACAAAATCGCTCTTAATCCAGGCCCCAGCGTCATGGGCATAGATGAGGGAATTTATATCTGTATCTCCATAATGGCAAAACTAATGGAAATTTATGGCAAACAGCAAACAGCAACTTTAATTAAATCGTAAAAATCCTGAATGACTTTCCCGCTATATATTTTTAGCATTTTCGGTTAGGGCTGGTGACATCAGTCAAAATCGTGATCCCCTGTCAGAATATTTTACGGCATAAATGTGATTAATAAAGTTTTAATAGTTGATTCATGAATCAGCCAACAGCAATGAATGAGAATCAACTAATTGGCTGATGATTTTTCCTCTTATTAAATCAATCTGCTTGTTTTTCATACTTTTACCAATTTTTGTGTTTCCTGACAGAGGCTGGCTATTGGTCGACCAAAAAACCATTAACATTTAGCCCTCCAAATCGAAATGTTAAGAAGAATATGAAAACGCCATATTCCCTGACATGATTGCTTAATTAACCATTTAAGTGCACAAAATCGACGATTAAAGGTTTTAAACATTTTTAATTCCTGTCTCCTCATTGGATTTACGTAGCGCCCCTTTGCTTCTACTCGTAGGAGACCAACGGTGGAACTCATGGCTCCACGTGTAGTGCATGGCGGCTGCTCCTCTTCTCAACGTTTGGCAGAACACTACTCAGAAATTGTTGTAATTATTAGTGGCGCATATAAATGTTAGATATTTTTCTGTTGGCCTTTGAGAGGCGATTCTCGGCGCAACATAGCTGGCATTCGGAAGGTATTCAATGACTTCAGCTACTCGAATACCGTGCAGTTGTGACTGACTGAAAAGGTCCCCTGATCAACAAGTAGCAAGGAGGCAGTTTAATTACCCCTCATGAAACTGGCGAAGGGACAGGGTATTCTTCTTACAGGCGGTGCATTTGACATTCACAAATCCGAGATTTAATCAATCTCATGAATGTCGCATAACTGTTGTAATAATGTATCACTTTCTCATTCAAGCTGTCCACCGTCTTTAATCTGCTATGTTTACTTTTTTTCTTTCTTCTTTTCCCGCAGATCCTTAAAGGAAAGGTAGAAGTCCAAATCTAATTTGTAATTTGGAACCTAAAGGGCAAATTGTATTGAAATTGTATTCATGACGTATTTTTTCAGTGAATGGCTATGATCGACCCCACTGAACTGTCACTCCTCAAGATTGCCTATGACCAGCTGCAAAATTCCGTGTCGCTTGGCATATTATCATTAATCTACATCTATGAACCTTGATGTGTCCCCACTGAAGAAAAATTCGCATCTTTCGGTCAGCTATGGTACGACGATGTAATATTAGCCTTATTTTGCGCTGGTGCTTGCGGAAGGTTTCGAAATGGAGGTGTGCTATTCTTCTGTTAGCGTCTTTTTTCGTGCTGTATGCGACGTGGCTGAACGGGCATTGCTTGACGATGGATTCGCGAGAAATCGTTGGTGGAAAAAATGCCAGTCAGTTGTTTCGGATGTTCGGCTCGATTCCTAAACAAACCATCGTTTCCAACCGTTCATCAGACGAGCGCCACGAGTTAGACATTAGGCAAGTTCATTATGCGGTCTCGAAAACGGATGTCTGCGAAAAACAGCACTCGCCGTTCATCGTCATTTTCGTCCCCAGCCATCCGTTGTTTTTCAAGCGTCGCATGGTACTGCGAAAGTTCTGGAATCTCTACAGCCAGAAATTGCATAATTTTGCTGTAGTACTGTTGTTCATCGTCGGTCGTTACGTGGCAGACCTGAGGGTAGAAATTCAAGTGTCCCTTGCGGTTGACGCGGAGGAAGGCGTGTTCCATGACATTCTGAAGGGCACGTTCGAAGACACGTATGGAAACCTGCTTTTAAAGTCTATCCTAATGCTGAAGTGGACCACTGAACACTGCCCGAAGGCAACATTGATTATGAAAATGGACGACGACGCGGTGATTGATTACTCGCAGCTTTCCAAGACACTAGAGCGTTTCGAAAGCCCGAAAAGAACCATAATCTGTCATGTTTGGACTGACTCGAAACCAAGGCGCAATGCCAGAGATAAATGGTTTCTGCCAGATCGTGAATACAATATTAGCCAATTCAAGCCTTACTGTTCCGGTTCCGCGTACCTCATATCCGGTGATTCCGTTCCACTTCTTTATAGGAAAGCCATGACTTGTCCGGTGGTCTGGTTGGAAGACTTACATATCACTGGAAATCTGGCTTCGGAATTACAACTGCGACTGGTAGACGTGAGGTTTTACAGGAACTTTCATAACTTTTACGATTACCTATATCCGTCGTTGAGATACTGCTGATTTCAGATTTGTGATTTGAAAGTGGGTTGTTCTGTTCATGACTTACCTTTCTATTAGTATAACGTTTATCAACGAATATCACAGTCCAATGCATAAATTGAAAAGCGATGGAAAGCAACATTTGATGGCATGCGTACTATGGCTGTACGACCATTTGCATCATAGAGCGGTCATTCGACAATAAGCTGGTTCATAATTTGGTTATCTGCTCTACAATGGCCTTTCTAGATTTTCAATGGCTTATTTTGTCGTCATCATAGTTAGCCATTCTGCAAAACAGCAGGCTTCTAAAGTTTCGAGATTTAAAAATTTCTCATGTTTATACTAAGAGCAGATATTTGAAAGAGTCTTACTGTATAGCTACTGCTTCTCCAATGGGAGAATTTAC